GGAGAGTCCCCACAAGGATAGCAAACCAGACGTGTGTGTGTGTGTGTGTGTGTGTATGTGTGTGTGTGTGTGTGTGAGATGATGATGATCAGAGAGCGCGCGCAGGATCCTCAGGCGTTCTAGAAGGGCTCACGCGGTAGCCTACTCCGATGCAGGTCACTGTAAGCCATATGGCTTATATAACCCTTAAATATTATGATGATGATCAGAGAGCGCGCGCAGGATCCTCAGGCGCTCTAGAAGGGCTCACGCGGTAGCCTACTCCGATGCAGGTCACTGTAAGCCATATGGCTTATATAACCCTTAAATATTATAACTGAAAAGCTGATGCATGATTTGTACTGGAGCTTACTCTGAAATGTGGCCAAGTTCATGAGTCGACGGTAAGTTTAAGGCTTTGTTATCTTAAATGTGCGTCGGCTGCTGTCTTTCCCCTCCTGACGCCTCAGTCTTGCTTGGGTCCTTTAAGAAGTGCATGTTTATCTCGGGCCATAAAGCCGACATAAACATTTTATGATTTTACACTCCTTTTTTTCACTTGAGATCACACACACACACACATCTATTGTACACGCTTCAAATGTGTTTCCGGATGTGTGAAAACGGAACTTTTTTCTTTTTAAAACCAAAATTTGAAGCATCAAGATACTTTCATCACGATCTTTTCGCGTCTTATGAGCAGCACAAGATATGCTGATGTACAAATATTAAATAGCATTAATATTTCGCTGTAACACAGACACTCCGCATTAACAACGAAACATAAATATGACGTTTAATTCTTTAATTACTGCACCATATAATTTATCAGTAGCTACCGGAGCTTAACGTACATGTGTTATTTTTTATTTTTTTGGGGGGGGGGGCACAGCTAATATGAATAAATTATATTGAATGTGTATATGTGTTTTGCTGTTTCATGAATTGTTTTAATTCATATAATATAATTATATTGTTTATCTGTTTAAATCTGTTTATTTTCATGAAAAGCTTATAATATGTTAAATTGCGTGCAACGTGCACTTATTTCATGAGTAATGAATGTGTAATTAGTGTCTTGTCATCTCAGAGGCCTGTGAGCCTGTGTTTTGCCAGTTTCTCTGTTTAATATTAAACCATATAAAGCCTGCAGTATTACATTTTAATACATGAATTTCTAAGGCCTCTAAATGATCAGCATGATGAAAAGTTTGCTGGGGAAAAAAAACCTGTTTTACACAACTTACTACATGCCTTCTGCCCTCTGAACGACAGTTCATACTTTTTTAGTGTGTAAAAGGTGCATGTGTCTTTTTACAGTGAAATCTTTAATGATTTTTAAAAAATTAATTAAGCATTAGAATACAATTTTAACAACATTCACTGGGCTAAAGCAACTTAGGTTTACTTGATTATAGCTACTACATTTTTAGAAAAATCATGTTAAAATGTTGATATCAAATATAATATAGTCTTTTGAGAAACATTTGTTTGTACATCTTGCAGTCATCATTGTATTGCATTGCATTATGTTTTGCCCCCACAATTAATTACACACATACTGTACATTGTACATATATACTCTGCTATGCTGTTATAAAGATCTCGTTGTTTTACTTTACAAGAATTTAGAATTTCATCTTAATTGTAGGCCATATAAATAACAGGGAATGCACCAAATTGCACTACATTTTTCTCCTTCCTCATTCCGGGTCTTGTCACTCGTGCAGTATGTCTGCCACAGAACGAACCCTCTTGTATTTTGGCCTATGTGGAATACAAGATTGTTCATTTGAAACTAGTCAAACACTTCTTCCTCTTCCCTTGTTATAAGGAAGTATGAGGTTAACTTGAAAATGTTATTAGTTACAGGCACAACTTCTGCCTTTTGCTTTGTCGCAAGTTAAGCCTGTTCAACAGGTTTCATACTTTCAAAAAGAGAAGAAATGGCAGGTTGCAAGTAAAATACTGTATGGAGGATTTATATACATTTTATGTTTGTACATGTGTTTATGTGTGTTCAGGAGGAGGGCTGTTTGTAGCGTACACAGGGACTTCACCATTTTGTCTCCTCGTCGTCCTCATGGAGCGACTCTACTGGGTTCGTCACAGATGTCTGCAGCTGATATCCACAGACAGGAGGAGGGGCTGGTACTCTCCTCCTTCATCACTTGCCCCTAAGAGTAGTCTGGATGCTCAGGACCCTCAGCGACTCAGTGGAAAGAGAAGAGTAGTGGTGTCACGATGTGGTCCACACCAAGCAGAGTACCACAACTTCTCCAAGGGCTTTCAGGACAACAGCATCCGCACCACCAAGTACACACTCATCAGCTTCATACCCATGAATCTGTTCCAGCAGTTTCACAGGTCAGATGTTGAGCTGACTATATCATGTATATCGTCTAAATGATTTGATGATGTGTTGGTGTTTAGATTTAGTTTTTTGTGTGTGTGTCACTGACACATTTGTTTTCTCGCAACAGAGCAGCAAATCTGTACTTCCTGTTTCTGGTGTTGCTGAATTGGGTCCCAGTAGTGGAAGCATTTCAGAAGGAGATTACTATGATCCCTCTAGCTGTGGTGCTCACCGTCATTGCCTTCAAAGATGCCATGGAGGACTACAGACGTTACCGCTATGACAAGAAGATAAACAACACACTGACACATGTCTATAGCGGGTCAGTATGTGTTCATCCCTGTTAATATGATGTGGTCAATGATAAGACTTTTATGATCATGTGACACTGTTTCTGTTTCTGTGTGAGTATTTTGGATGAGTTTTGTAACTTCCTTACTTGTCTGATTTGACGAATACACATAGCAACTTTTCTTTGGTTATTTCCCTGTATTTTCCCCATATTGCATCATGACCTGTTTCAGGGAAAATGCCTAGTGAGTCATCCATAATGTTTGTTAAAATGACTGAACAGATTGCAAGACCACTGTCTGTTGTCTTTTTCACATTGCAATTAAAAATGACTATTTAACTGATGGATAAAAGTAGTGCCATGCAAAAATTGTTATGGTTACAAAGTGATTTATAATTGGTTAAAATATACAACATTGTAAGACCACTCAGCCATCGGTGAATTAATTTTCATTTTGTTTCTTTGACCACAATCCATTTGATGAAGCTGTTTGGAATAAATATTATTTCAGTATTAATTATACACTATAATATTATTTATTCATATTTTGAATTAACATTTATTTTTAAGTTTAGCAGGTTTTTTATTTTAATTATAGTTTATTTTAGTAATTGTATGTGTTTTTGTCATTTTTATTCTTTTTTTTTGTATCTTTTTATATTTTTTTAAGCTTTAGTTTTTTATTTTAGTTTTACCTTTTGTACTTTTAGCATTTCAACTTATTTAATTTCAGTTATTTACCAAGGCAACATTTCTAATTTTGTAAAGTTTTTCACAAATTTATTTTATTTCTGCTTTATCTCAGTTAATGAAAATGTTTTTTAAACTGTTTTAGTTTACATTTTAGTCTTACTTTACAATAACACTTTTTGGAATGACCTTCATCATGAAAAAATATGTTACGTTAACAGCTTGAGACTACTTTAGAGGCTTTTGGGCAACTGCCCATTTGATCCTGTGCTTAATTTGTGCCTGTTCCTTGGGCCTTTGGCTTTGGATAAAATGCGATGGCTTCTGCTTTGTTCTGCATCTTGTGACAGTGACGTATTAAAGGGGTCATATCATGAGGGACAAATTTTATTTAATCTTTTGATATAAATGACTTCACTGTGTTATTAAAACATACTGTAACTTTCAGCCCCAATTTCCCCACCAGATTTAAAGACCTTTTATTGAAGCGGAGCTGTAAAAATGGCTCGTTCTGAAATACTTTTTTACATTTATTTATTTATTTTAACAACAGAAACCCATAACATACAGTATATACATGTCAGTGACATCTATCCAGTCTACCCAGAAACCTGACCCACCAAGTAACGGGTAATTAAGGACAAAGCAGGAAAGATGCTGTTATTCCTAAGCACCAGAAAAGCTAACAAAGAGTGAAAAATGTAGAACATTTTCAGAATATTGTATTGTTCTTGGCTGGGTGCATCACCTGCATCTCTGCATATCCTTCAGATGGATACCAATGTTAGAAATAAGTTTAGCTTAACTGCTGTGTATGGCCTCTTGACTTTGTCACTTGCTTTCATCACTTTCACTTTTCTTTTTGTACACTGGTTCACTAAACTGAACAGCCAATCAGAGTGATCTCTCTCACCAATGGCTCAGACACAACGTGCTCAATCGGACTCGGCCACCACCACTTTTTTTAAATTGTATTTATTTAATACCACAAACGTGAAACTGCCCACTGTTATTATCATTAAAAAGTATTGACTGTTGACACAGATTCACAAACCAAACACTGCGCCTCTGAGATGAGGAGATCATTTCCAAGAAATAGCATTGCATAATTTCCAAATTGTGCAAAACTTCCTTCTAGGCTGTCAAGGACTTTAGCCATTAGAATTAAAGATTATCCTCTGTTCCTACGTCTTCAGTCTTCTATGTAAAAATGTTACAGGGTCTGTTCCTAAAACAATGCTTCAGTATTTCCTTGAAGGGATATGTTAATGAGTTCTAGTGTCTTGATGTGACATTTCAAATGTAGTTGTGAAAGTGTGTGATGTCACAGTTAAGCCCCTCCCACCCCCTATAGCCAGTGCTCATTTCTTGTAACAAGACATCTGACATAGGACACCTTGCTTTCCCTTCATCTACAGTGGGGCAAAAAAGTATTTAGTCAGCCACCAATTGTGCAAGTTCTCCCACTTAAAAAGATGAGAGAGGCCTGTAATTTTCATCATAGGTATACCTCAACTATGAGAGACAAAATGAGAAAAAAAAATCCAGAAAATCACATTGTAGGATTTTTAAAGAATTTATTTGCAAATTATGGTGGAAAATAAGTATTGGGTCAATAACAAAATTTAATCTCAATACTTTGTTATATACCCAAAAATATCTCGCATATCTACGACAGCAATTAAAAATTAGCCTTGATAAATTAATGCTTGTAATTGTATCCAGTCCTGATTAAGTTTTATAGTGATAATAATAACAATATAGGCTTCAAAAGTCCAGAGCTCCTTAGATGATAGATGACTTGTGTTCCCTGTCCGGGATAAACATTACACTGCAAACTGGTCGCTTATTTACCAGCCCTCAATTTTCCTTGTCTAAAAACTGCCTCTGAGTCATAAAAAGCTCTACGTCTACTTTGTTTATGATGCCTGGGAGTGTTTCCTGGATAAGGAGCAGCCTGGTCTGTATACTGTAGATTAATACAGGTTTCTGAGCGACACGCATTACTGTTGAGACAAAGGTTTGGAAGAGCATAATGTTTCTCAGGTGTCAGATCTTGCATGTGTTGATCTTGGCTCGGACAGAATCAGAGACATGAATTTGACTAGTGATGGTGAGACCTGTTGGACATGCTCGGGATAGAGAATCTGCCTAAATTGGCCGGACCATTCTTACAGACTGTGTCTCTGGAGCGGAAGAGTCCAGCTGCCATGATTCAGCAGTTGGAGCTAGATCAAGCTGGCATGGCAAAAGATCTGACCAAAAACAGAAGGGTTGTCATGCCAAGTTGGACTGAACATGAAGAAATAAAGGAATTACAACAGTTTTACAGCAGGAATAAGGTCCGGACGACCAAGTACACCTTCATATCTTTCATCCCCAAGAATCTTTTTGAGCAACTTCATCGTTTTGCCAATGTATACTTCGTCTTTTTGGGCGCGTTGAACTTTGTGCCTATTGTAAATGCGTTCCAGCCGGAGATCTCGATCATTCCTATTGTCTTTGTGATGTCCATAACTGCTGTTAAAGACCTCTGGGAGGACCAACGTCGGAAGAAGTCTGACCAACAGGTCAATAACTGCTTATGTGATGTCTATGACAGGTAAACGCATGAAACCTTCTGAATGTCATGATTGAAAATGTACATATGTCATTTTGTTCTTTTACCATATTTGGCATGGCAGCTGATATCTGCTAACAGTAGATCATAGTATAGTGCATATATAGTTAAGGTATTATTTAACCTAACTGTGAGGTGACTTCTCCCAGATGTTTCACTTTTGACAGTTTCTTGATCCTAACACAGGCTTGTTCCTCAAACAGTCAGAGGTGTGGCTTCATAACTTCATTGTATGTGTCAAATCCAATAAACATTGGTTTTTCCAAATACAGTCATTTGGATTTGCATGGTAAAGTGTCAGAGCTACACTGTTTCTTTAAATTTGTGAGGTTAAAACGGTTAAACCATAGTTGGTGGGCTTGTAAGTTTATTTCTAATCTGTATCCTGTGCTGTAACCCATGTGCGTAATTTTTTTTTATTAGCGTAGCTGTTAGTTAATGGTTAGCTTGGTGTATAGTTATTATCGAACTGTTTGTCCTTTATAATTGAGCGAATCTCTCGATCAGAGGTTTGTTCTTTGTATCTCGTGTGTGTGTGTGTTTGAGAACAATGGCATATTTTCACAGATAATGAATTGATTCATATTCTGTGCTTTCCATGAAAAGACTGCATAGTGTGATTTCTAAGAATCACACTATGACCTTGACAGGAACAAAAATCTTATAAATGCTCCAATGCTATTGTTGAATTGAGAATGTATTTTGAAAGGGTATTATGGGTGTATTTGCAAGATGTTGCTATTATACACAGTGTAAAGTCTGTAAATGGCAGGTATGAAGACACTGTTTATATTTTGCCTTCTTGCACTAATGACCTGACAAATATTGTACCAAAACGATGAATTATCCAACATTTGGCTCTAGTTAAGCTGTTAATGCTGCTCAGATTAAAAAGGCTCCCTTGTGATTGTCTTGCCGCAGGGGGTCATTAGTTTTCCTGTTATGGAGTTGTTGCTGTGGGTGACAATGACGCGCAGCGTTTGCTCGATTACTATGCTGGTGTGTTTAGTTCAGTAGGCACTAGCAGTAATTGTTAAATCTGTTTGTGTGTGTGTGTGTTGTGCTTAAATCATATTGCACATCAATGCACAGAAACAAAGCATCATTGGAAATGCATATACCTGTATGTTTTTGTCATGTGCGATGGTGCAGGTATATATTAAGTGCTTTGTTTCACAATGGTTCTGCAAATATTCAGTTATACCACGTGCAAGACTGGTTTTCAGTGCCATCAATACTGTGAGGGATGTTTTTACTAATAATAAACACATTTATACACGACTCAGGAATACTGTATTCTGATTGATCAGTCTGCAGTCAAATATGTACTAAACCGTATATTTGCATTTGTTGTTCCTGTTGTTTCTAGTATTTGTCTTTCGTGCTCATCTGGTATATTTTTTTTATACAACCATGCATGAAACAGTCAATATTACTCATATTTTGATACCAAATTTTTGTGAAAAATTCAGAAAAATTTTGAAATGTTATTTTGAAAATTGCCAATTCGGAAAGCTAAATAATTTTTGAAGTACTGGTCTGTGTTATGTGTCAGTTTATGCATGCAGAAGGTGCTTTTCTAGAAAGTGCCTTTTTTTCAATAAATTTTTTTTACAGTGTCTTATGTGATTTTCTTATTTATTGTCTCTAATATTGACAATGAAATCAATATTTGAATCCTGTTGTTCATCCAATATTAATAGTGAATCCAAATAAAAAGTGTGTGTTTGTGTTGAAGGAAGCAGAAGCGGTATGTGGAGCGGCGTTGGGCAGAGGTGTGTGTCGGTGATCTGATCCGTCTCTGCTGTAATGAGATCATTCCTGCTGACATGGTGCTGCTGCACTCAGTATATTTGCATTTGTTGTTCCTGTTGTTTCTAGTATTTGTCTTTCGTGCTCATCTGGTATATTTTTTTTATACAACCATGCATGAAACAGTCAATATTACTCATATTTTGATACCAAATTTTTGTGAAAAATTCAGAAAAATTTTGAAATGTTATTTTGAAAATTGCCAATTAGGAAAGCTAAATAATTTTTGAAGTACTGGTCTGTGTTATGTGTCAGTTTATGCATGCAGAAGGTGCTTTTCTAGAAAGTGCCTTTTTTTCAATAAATTTTTTTTACAGTGTCTTGCTTATGTGATTTTCTTATTTATTGTCTCTAATATTGACAATGAAATCAATATTTGAATCCTGTTGTTCATCCAATATTAATAGTGAATCCAAATAAAAAGTGTGTGTTTGTGTTGAAGGAAGCAGAAGCGGTATGTGGAGCGGCGTTGGGCAGAGGTGTGTGTCGGTGATCTGATCCGTCTCTGCTGTAATGAGATCATTCCTGCTGACATGGTGCTGCTGCACTCATCTGATCCTAATGGAGTGTGTCACATCGAGACGGCCAACCTGGATGGAGAAACCAACCTCAAGCAAAGGCAGGTGGTCCGTGACCTGCCACAGCAGGTGAGTGGCCAGTCTATCCAGTTCATCATCTTCATCACCATTGTCTTTGGTTTTTGTTACGGGGCTGACGAGACGTGAGACTTGCGGATCCATTCGCAGAGCTTTATTAGACACAGACAGAGACGTGGTCATACAGCAGGCATGGGTCAGATGAGGGCAAACAGGTATATGGTGGGCAAAACACAAGAATAGTCCTAGGGCTAGCACAGGTCGACGATCGGCAGACAGAATCAAAAGGGGCAAGACAAAAGGGGTGAATCCAGGGAACCAGGCGAAGATCAGAAACCGGGAAGGCTAAGGCTAAGGCTAAGGCAAACGACTAGGGCTAAGGCTATGACAAGGGCTCCGTAAGGTAGCTATCTCTAGGAGAGTGATAAATGCTGAAACAATACTCGGCAGAGGGAAGGGATCAGAGTGAGTGTTAAATAGTGAGGGAGTGATATGAAACAGCTGGGTGCAATCAGTGTAAACAGGTGTGTGCAATTCGTGCTGAGTGCAATCAGTGCAATGCATGATGGGAAATGCTATGCAACAGTTTGTGTGGTGCGAGAGTCAATGAAAAGGAAAGTTCATGGACCGGATTCGTGACAGTTTTCCTCCATAAATATATGAGATGAAATATGTTTTGCTAAAAAAAGGTCAGTGATTTTTTTTTTTATTAAAATCTATTAAGTTGTTAAAAAGAAATAAAATGCAGTTTATATAGACGATGACTTTAATTTATATCATCTATGATTCTGTGTTTCGGAATTCTGAACAATAGGGCTGCAACAAACGATTATTTTGATAATCGATTAATCTAACGATGATTAGAACGGTTAATCGACTAATCAGATTATTTCGCTGATTAATCAGTAGACATTTATTGATTATTCAGCTTTTGCAATTAGTTAAAGGGGTGGTTGATTGCGATTTCACTTTTTTAACGTTAGTTAGTGTGTAATGTTGCTGTTTGATCATAAACAATATCTGCAAAGTTACGAAGCTGAAAGTTCAATGCAAACGGAGATATCGTCTTTTAAAATTCTGGCAGTTTAATGCCTACAAAAACGACTGGTAAGGGACTACAACGAGTTACTTTCCAGGTCCGTTACGTCAAGAACCCAGAATTTTACATAAACCCTGCCTCCAGGAACACGCAGCAAAGGGGGCGAGGCCATGCTGCACTGCTTTAGAGAAAAGGAAGAGAAAACTAGAGGTGCACGTAAAAATCTATTCATCTATTCATTCATTCAGTCTTCTAACGATTCTAATGGATTCACAAGTTTCAAAATTAATGTTCTAAAGCAGCATTCTCATCCTGTTCCTGGCCTCGCCCTGCTCTGCACACGCTCTGCCTCTCTCTCTCTCATTCAGATCATCAGCTCAGTGAATACACTTATTTTCACATACTACACTCTTAAAAATAAAGGTGCTTTAAAAGGTTCTTCAAGCGATGCCATAGAAAAAACAATTTTGGTTCCACAAAGAACCATTCAGTCAAAAGTTCTTTAAAGAACCATCTCTTTCTTACCTTTTTGTAATCTGAAGAACCTTCTTTCACCACAAAGAACCTTTTGTGAAACAGAAAGGTTCTTCAGATATTAAAGGTTCTTTATGGAACTATTTAGACAAAAAGGTTCTTCTATGGCATCGTGAAGCACCTTTATTTTTAAGAGTGTATAGGTATGAGAAGCGTTATACATGGACGCGCGTGCGGTTGCCGAACTGTATTAAAGCTTTAATCAGAATAAAACCGTATATTAAAAGCTAACAGAAGCAGTAGCATTTACAAATAACAGCGTATCTAAAAGTATGAGACAACAACAAACAAAAATCTTAGGCCTACCATTAAAAGCCGTGCTTGCACAGGTTCTGCGCGATCATCTTCAATAATATCCTCTGCTTCTCAATCGAGCTCAAATTGATAAGCAACATAGACAACGTCATTGTTTACAATACAACCGGAGCAAATGCCGCTGAGCTGAGGGGTGGGACATTTAGACGCGCGCTAGAGGCGGTTTAGCCAATCACAACACACTGAGCCAGCGAATTAATCAGAGCCCATCGTGTATTTCTGAGGGAGGGGCTTCATAAAAGCAGGAAATGATCAGTGCATTCAGAGGAGAAGGGACAGAGAGGTGTGGAATAAAGGTAAATTATGTGAAATATAATGTGTTTTTTAACAAACGAAGCATTAACAAATGTTAGACTGCACCCCATAAACACAATCAAGCCTATAAAAAAAAACAGTCAACCACCCCTTTAAAATATTGAGTTATACACATTCTAACAAATAAATTAAGGTAATCACTTTAGCTTTTGAAAGTCATATTATGTCATTACAATTATACAATTAATTTATACAAATAAATATATTTGGCACACAAAATGAAATGGCAGAGAAACTCTTATTCACCATTTAATTAGCTATATGAGAAAGTAGCTGAATGACACATCATTCTGCCTAAAATCTCTTTTTGTAAGTCATATGGATAAGAAACAAAATAAAGGTTAAGTGATAAGACGCTTTATTTTTAGATAAACTATTTTATTCACAACATAATCTCTCTTAAAATATCGGAGCGATATGGACTCTGGTTTTTCATGTTTAATACTGTAAAGCTGCTTGATTTAAGGCTATCTATTGCATAAAGTACTATATAAGTAAACGTGACGTGACTTTACTGGAGTACTGAACTGCAGAGCTCGTGCAAACATCCACATCGCTGTAATCAGATGAGGTTTGAACTTCTGCTTTCTCACCGCTGTCAGTTTTGATGTGTTTATTTTGTTATTGAGAGTAAAGTGCGCAGTATATATTTACATATTCATCCAAACGCCGCTCAGCAGCTTCTGGTTCGGCTGCGTTTGCTTTGAAGCGCTGTGTCTTCTTCTCTTGAATTGCATCAGGACAGCTCAGTGTTGCCAACTAATTTTCAGGGGAAGTTGCTAAAGGAAGATTGATTTGTTGCTAAAAGTAGCTAAATGACGCAATGTCATTGCGCGGTGAGGTCATTGCGTAATCACGATGCAAAATTGTGTCACTGCATCAAATCTCAGCAAAAAAAAAGAAGTAAATATGTTAATTTTGATGTGTTTATAAAATAATATAAATGCATAATATAATATTAAAATATAAATAACTAATTTTAAATACAACATTGAATTATTTAACACTTTCACATTTTTTAACAATTACAATTTAAGTTTATTTTTATTAGCTAGTAAACTAGTAAAACTACTCATTCTGAACGATTATAGATTTAAGCAGTGTATTAGTAGTTCGTATGCTACACGCTAAGAAAAGTGTGTAAAAATAGGGCAAAATCTATTAATATGAAGGTTTTTTTTACCTACATTTTAAATTACGCATTGTATTTTGTGTTTTCGGGTTACAATGGATAACGGATAGCTAAGAAAAGTGTGTAAAAATAGGGCAAAATCTATTAATATGACGGTTTTTTTACCTACATTTTAAATTACGCATTGTATTTTGTGTTTTCGGGTTACAATGGATAACGGATAATGTCCTGGAAAATTACTACCTTTTTCATTTTTCTAGATATTTTTCTTTCCATTCACTAACTCATCAACAAACTCAAGTACAAGCTACTAACAAGGTGTATCATAAATGAACAATTATTCAATTATTATTAGTATTATTAAATTAAACAATTGCTAATAGCAGTCAACTTAATTCATGTAAATTGTGTACTGCTAGGCACCTTTGGTTTCCTCTTTTTGTGTAATTTAGGTGGAAAATGTGTGCCTTTTTTATCGTTTGTCACTTATCAAAAGTTGCTAAATCTAGCAACAAAATTGCTAAATTGGCAACACTGGGAGAGCTGAATTACAATCTTGTGCTACAGCGCCACACTGGTCAAACCGCGTTATTGCAGGCTCTTACATTAGGTCGTATGAGATCAAACGACTACTCGACAACAAAAATATTTGTCGACAATTTTTTATTGTCAACGTTGTCGATAATGTCGACTAACCGTTTCATGTTTACTGAACAATGCCTGGTGAAAGTCCAAAATTGCAAGCTATAGCAGTGTGCGGAATTCATTTATTTTTGTTGGACTGTTTGCTTTTCTTTTTAACTACACGCCTGCTTTTATGATTTACTAGGAGTTGTGGTGGTATTTCATTTATATTTCGAATTTCTGAATTAAAATAAATATTCTTGTGAGGCATTAAGTAGGGTGTTACTATAATTAGTTATGAAGAAAAATGTCTGATGAAATGCTGAATTTCTTTACTTTGTAAAAAACCTCTTTGAACAGTATGTTTAAAAATGTGATGTCATCTTCCTTTAGGGATCTGAATTTGTTCCAGAAAACTACAGCAGTCGCATTGAGTGTGAAAATCCCAACAATGACTTGAGACGGTTCAGAGGCTTCATGTGAGTAAAGCAGTGAAATTCTTCTGTAAATGAACAAGGCTTTTTTATGAAAATAATAGTGACTTTGTTTTTGTACGCAGGGAGCATCCTGGTAAAGTGCGGGTTGGACTCCACAGTGAAAACCTGCTCCTGAGGAGCTGCACTGTTAGGAACACAGAGACTGTGATTGGCATTGTGGTCTATGCAGGTCACTTTCACATCTTTGCACATAGTGATCAACTTCAGATAGGATAAGATCATTGTATTATTATAAAGAGCTCGATTGAGCAATAAAAGAGCTTGTGTATGTGTGTGTGTGTGTGTTCAGGTCATGAGACAAAAGCAATGCAGAATAACAGTGGGCCGCGCTACAAACGAAGTAAACTGGAGTGCAGACTCAACATGGACGTCCTCTGGTGTGTCGTTTTACTGTTGCTCATGTGCCTTACTGCTGCTGTAGGTCAGTATTACGGTCATTGACACACTTTTGACATGATTTAAACTTTTAAGCACTAGGTTAATGTTATTTGTGTGGGTTTAGTGAAAATGTGCACGTTGTGATCTACAGGTCATGGTTTTTGGTTGAGTGGACTACATAATCCCATCTTCATGATCCCTGATGACACGCACCCTGCGCTCGCTGCCTTTTACATGTTCTGGACTATGATCATTGTTCTGCAGGTGAGTGATAGTGGGCAGAAACATTTGATATCTACACAAACACATGCATTTGATATTCAAGTATACTACTGGTCAAACGTTTTGGAATAATTATTTTTTTATATTTTTGGAAGAGGTCTCTTTTTCTCACCAAGGCTGATTGTTTAATTAAAAATGCAGAAAAGAAACTGTAATATCGTGAAATATTTTTACAATTTTAAACGATGTAATTTATTTCTGTGATGGCAAAGCTTAATTTGCAGCAGGCGTATCTTCAGTTTTCAGTGACTACGTTACGTTTACATGGACATCAGTAAACTAATTATTTACCTTATTCTAAATAAGCCAATATTATGATTATGGTGTTTACATGAGTTGCTTTTAGAATGTTCCTTTCATGTTCACGTTTTACATGTTATAGTACATAGTTCGATTAATGGCACACGTCATTACGTCCCCACGTGATGCCATCCGACGTCCCCTCCGGAATTTCACATATAAACTTATAGTTCATCTTCGTGATGATGCCATGTACAGTTTTGGGTGTTTCATTTTCAATTTTATGAAAGCTTCAAGTGCAGTTAATTATTTGTACGTGCATACAGACGACGGCGGGCGTTGAAGCTCTTTTATTTGCCGTCAAATGGTTGAGCACTGCCGTGTGTGTATCCTGTCGCAAAATGCGGTAAAAGTCCTACACGAAGCTAATAATGTGATTAAGGTGTTTACATGTCTATACTGCACTTTAGTAATGCGACTAAAATAGGAATACTCCACATGTCTTAATTCGATTAGTGTTTACTTCGATTATGACTTTAGCCGGATTAAGGTAATCAAAAATCTCTGTTTACATCGTAGATTCTTAATCAGAGTATTGTCTTAATCGTATTAAAATCGGAGTATTGTTGTCCATGTAAACGTACTCAGTGTCACATGATCGTTCAGAAATCATTCAGCTTTACCATGTCAGGAATAATAGTTAAATCGGTTAAATAGATAATCACTTTTATGCTCACTAAAGTATATTCCTAGATTATCTGACATCGCTGGTCTCCTCTGCCTCCGTTTCCCTCTGTTGCAGGTGCTAATTCCCATTTCCCTCTATGTGTCGATAGAGATTGTGAAGCTGGGACAGATTTATTTTATTCAGAATGATTTGCTGGTCTCCTCTGCCTCCGTTTCCCTCTGTTGCAGGTGCTAATTCCCATTTCTCTCTATGTGTCGATAGAGATTGTGAAGCTGGGACAGATTTATTTTATTCAGAATGATTTAGATCTGTATAACCCAGTACTAGACACAGGAGTGCAGTGCAGAGCACTGAACATCACAGAAGATCTTGGACAGATCCAGTTCCTGTTCTCTGACAAGACGGGAACCCTCACAGAGAACCGCATGCTGTTCCGCTGCTGCACTGTTGCAGGAACTGAGTACCCTCATCATGAGAATGGTCAGTTTACTTCATAACAGCCTTCAAAATATACCGACTGATTCTGTGGGTGTGCCGTGCATAAGAATAAAAGATGAAACTTTTCAATTAAAATGTTAAATTGATCGACTGGCTTACTTTTAATCTCAATATTGGTTAAGAATAACATCTAAAAAGATTTTATAGTATATTTTTTAAGGCTGTCAAACATGCTAACTTAAGATATTCATAAATTGATGAATATTAAGATATTTATTTATGTAGTATAAGAACAATTTGCCATATTATGGTTTACATTTTCATTCTGCTCTCTGAAAACTGGAAATAAATCATGGGATTAGTTGTGATTATATTATATTTACAGCCATAAATAAAAAAAAAAAATAAAAAATAAAAAAAATATATATATATACACAATGTTTCAGTTTTGTGAATAAAATTATTTTATTGTCCAGCTTACTATTTTTATTTTTTTTACTGTTTCCCTCTAAATAACTTTTAACTGTTTGTATAAGATAATGATAGTGTTCTACTGATAATGATTTAATGTATGATCATGTTTGCTTGTTACTCTTCAGGAATTTCTCTGGAACAGTATGAGGAGCAGGGCTGTGGTGATGCCGATCACTCTCTCACCCTGAAGTCACGCACTAGCAGGAAGTCTCTGAGCTGTAAATCGCTCAGCTGCAACCGGAGTTCAGTGTCCCTCAATACCCTCACTGCGGAGTCTGACACGCACTCAGTCCACAACACACTCCGCAGACACACACCCGGAGCCTTCAGCAGCACCATGGTGAGAAAAGAACAGACTTATCTTCAACATTTACTGTACATGTATACTTTTCCATGTCTTTATTACTTTATTCCCTGTATTAGTCATCTATTAATTTATACAGTAACACACACCTGAAGTATTTATTGTCACTGCTATGAAGTTGTGTATGTAATTGTAATTTTTTCCTCTAGGAGTGTGCTGTTGTTCCAGACCCTCAGCTTCAGGTGAAGCTGAACACCCTGTCTTTACCCATGCGTTCCCCTATCCGACACTGAAGTATTTATTGTCACTGCTATGAAGTTGTGTATGTAATTGTAATTTTTTCCTCTAGGAGTGTGCTGTTGTTCCAGACCCTCAGCTTCAGGCGAAGCTGAACACCCTGTCTTTACCCATGCGTTCCCCTATCCGACAGGAAGCTGCTGAAATCTCTCACATACTGGACTTCTTTCTTGCCCTCACTGTCTGCAACACTGTAGTAGTTTCCTCACCCACTCAGCCAAGACATGTGGTATGATCCAAATCTTTCAACTGAGTCTCAAACTCATGCTATCATTCACCCCACCGAACATATGATATTGATTACTATAGGGTGCTGTTTTATAGTTTGAACACCTCAACATGATTTAAAGCTTTCTTTTGGTCATTCATTAAAAAAATATATTTTTTATAGTTTTAGTATTTTAGTAGTGGTGCTTTAATTGGTGTTTTTTTAATTTGGTGCATGGTAAAACCCTCTCAGCAAAGCATTTTTAAATTCATCCCCTTTAAAGCTCTGGTGCTGCACGCTGCGATACACTTTCAGGTGGCATCACATATTGCCATAATTCTATGTTGTTGTTTTTTTTCAAAGTCCATTTGTTAAATGTGTGGTCACATTAACAGTCAAGGCAAAAGACGCAAAATGATGGCAAAAGAGATCCATTGCAGATTGCAGACAAAAAAGATGCATTGTCTATTGTCAGAAGTGTAGTAATATATGAAGAACCGAATTTAAATATATATAGTTTTGCAACTTCATCGCAAAACACAATTTTTGGTAACAATTTATTTTACAGTGTCCATGCTACACGTTATATGTAATTACTATAGTAATAACAGTAAATTATGTATAATTAGATGCAACTAAGTCCAAAACAAGTATGTGAGTATTGTATGTAGGGCTGGGTGATATGGCCAAAAAAAATATCATGATAAAATGTTTCATATCGGTTGATATCGATAATTATCACAATAAATTTCAAATCTTTATTTCTTCCAAGTTTAAAGGCAGATTTTTGCTTCTAAGTGAAAGCTGTAGAAACCAGTGGTTTTAAACTACTCTGTATGGTCAGGACATGACAAACACTTCACGTTTTTGAATTCTTTACACTTTTCCAGTCATTTTTCCTTAACAAAACAAATATCTTAATAGAAAAATGAATTTCGTAGTTTCTGCATGTTGTAATGAGTGATATTGTTTCAAATCATGAAACAGGTTTGTGTTGCCTGTACAGCACAGTGCAGTTTGCAGTGCAGGCCGCAATATTAATAATATTTATTTTTTGTCTCTTAGAAATGCACATTTAGCTTGAGTTGACAGTAGTAGTAGCTTGAGTTCGGATGCAGCTGTAAATTTATGTTCATTATCAAAAACAGTAACATATGTAAAAATTGTAACAGACTAATTTTTATATGGTGAAATGTAATTATTCTAACTGTTTGAGTTTTATTAAAATTAAGCATTGCTCTTCCATAGTAACATACATTTAGATCATGATAACCACAGTTAAAACCACACATGTAGCGCCTGTAACTACTGTCCATGTCTTCTAGGCATTTGTAGTACAGTAGTCTAAATACATTTAGTTTAAATGCACAAACACTATAGCTTAATCACAATATTACTGTAATTATATTCCATTACTCCTTTAATACATCTACATTAATAATATAATACAATTCCATACTTTATGTATATCCCTCAGTTCAACCTTTGCTGAAATTACTATTTTTTTATATAATCATAATCAAATTAGCCAAAATATTAAATAAACTCAGATTCAGTGTGGGCATTTACTGTATGTGCGTAGTTGTGAATATGTGAATAATATTCATTTGTAATATCAGGTTCAGATGCCCATGGTTCGCACACCCCTGCGCTCTCTAGAGGAGATGAAGGCCATGTTTCAGAAGCTGAGTCTGCCTCGCTTTCCCTCATCACCTAATCAAAACACAGACACTCTTCCCAGCCTAACCAAGAAACTCTTCACCCGGGGTCGTTCGGCTTCCTACTTTCCTAACAGTAGCCCACAAACACCCATCACGACCCTACAGTCTCCCACCATACCCTCTGGCACCCCTTCAAATACCCCACCCACTCCCGTCACTCCAGCACTGTCCAGTGGGGCGTGGAGCAAGAACATGGACGACATACAAAAGGCCAAAGATAACTCTGCTGAGTCGGAGAGTGATGATGAAGATGAGGCAGAAGAGTTGCTGTACGAGGCGGAGAGCCCGGATGAGGCGGCATTGGTGCAAGCAGCGAAGGCCTATGGGTGTACTCTGCTGGGCCGGTCCCCAGAGCAAGTCCTTGTGGCTGTTCCAGGCACTGGGCCACTGTCCATCTCTCTGCTACACGTACTGCCATTTCATTCTGCCCGCAAGAGGATGTCTGTGGTGGTGCGCCATCCCCTCACTGGAGAGGTGGTCGTTTACACAAAAGGAGCTGATAATGTCATTATGGAGCTGGCTGAAGCAGGTATGAGAGGAGACGTCTTTTAATGTTTATTAAGGTTGGTTCACACTGTCCCAAACAATGCAAATGCTTCAGATATTGTAAAGACAGCTTTTGGACTTAGTTTATTGATAAACACATATGTTAGAATCAAAGAGCCACAAAACATTTGCTTAAAAAAGGTATAATTTAAAATAACTAAAATCTAAAATGTTTTCTTATCTGTCTTGTTTTCCCAGTACAAATAGCCTATGTAAAAACATCAAGATATGTTTACTTGAGAAGCAAAATGACGTAACAATTTTAAAGGGGTCATATGATGCTATTTTAAAGATCATTATTTTTTGTATTTGGTATAACAGAATATGTTGACATGCTTTAATGTTCAAAAAACACATTATTTTTCAAATACTGTAAATTATTGTAGGTCCTCTATGCCCCGCCTCTCTCAAACGCGTCGTTTGCAACAAAGCCCCCTCCTTTGACAAGCGCAGTCTGCTCTGATTGGCCAGCTGACCCAGTGCATTGTGATTGGCCGAACACCACAAGCACGCGTCGGAAATGTAACGCCCCTTACCATAATTGCGAGCTTCAGCTTTCAAAGTAAATATCAAGACAGTTAATAATGTTGTTAGTTTTACCATCAGTTCAAGCCTGAAAGGGCAACAGAGTCGCGTGACAGACACAGTGATGATGCAGTACACAAGCCGCGGTTAAGACAGCTGACGTGCTATGATTTCTGACATGCAGTTCACTCTCCTGTGATGTGACCCTGTTCCCCTCACACACACACGACGCGTTACTCTGCGCTGCGCAACACTCCGCATTTGAACAGTCAATAGCAAATACTTAAACTAATAACAAAACATACTTACATTCAGAAGCACCAGATTCTCATAGCAAAGTCGGAATTTACCCTTTTTTTTATTTTTTAGAAATAGCCTTGTACTCTTCTAGGTTCAAAAAATTATTCTTAATTGCACCTACTTCCGGAAGGCCAAATAAAGTGCTTTTGCTTTCTCACTGAAACACAGCGTTTCCCTGACATGGCTGCATCAACACTAACTGCTGTTCCTGAAACCACGCCTTCTTTATTTGCGTGCACATTATGCTAACTTACATTCAGAAGCACCAGATTCTCATAGCAAAGTCGGAATTTACCCTTTTTTTTTATTTTTTAGAAATAGCCTTGTACTCTTCTAGGTTCAAAAAATTATTCTTAATTGCACCTACTTCTGGAAGGCCAAATAAAGTGCTTTTGCTTTCGCACTGAAATACACAGCGTCTCCCTGACATGGCTGCATCAACACTACTGCTGTTCCTGAAACCACGCCTTCTTTCCTTGCATGCACATTGGGGCGGCATTATGCTAATATTTCCACATAGTGATGTAGATATGTGGGGGCGTGTTAGAACGAGCCGTTTTAGATAGGCGTGGTTGACTCTTAACTTTTATAAAGAATATCTCTTTGGATTTGAGACTTTAGTCTTTGCAACTTTACAGATCTTCTTTATGCAGCAAGAGCTTGTAACACTCCAAAGAGAAAGGAAAAATTTAAATGGCATCATATGACCCCTTTAAAATTCATTTAAAAGGATAGTTCAGCCAAAAATGAAAATTCTGTATTCATTTACTAACCCTCAAGTTGTTCCAAACCTATAAGAGTTTCTTTCTTTTGTGGAATGTAAAAGAAGAAATTGAAGAATGTGGGTAACCAAGCAGTTGCTTGTGCCCACTGACTTTCCAGTATGTATGGGAAAAAATAATACGGAAGTCAATGGGGACCAGAAACTGTTTGGTTGCCCACATTGTTCAAAATATCTTTGTGTTCTGCAGAAGAAAGAAATTCATACAGGTTTGGAACAACTTGCGGGTGAGTAAATGATGACAACATTTTTATTTTCGGGTGAACTATCCCTTTAAGTCTATTTTTTATTTATTCATTTATTTATTTATTTTCGTTTAAAAAAATTTATCAAAATTGAGTGACATGTTTACAAGTTTATTTTTCTTTACCCTATTGCAGATATTATTTAAAAGGATAGTTCAGCCAAAAATGAAAATTCTGTCATCATTTACTAACCCTCAAGTTGTTCCAAACCTATAAGAGTTTCTTTCTTTTGTGGAATGTAAAAGAAGAAATTGAAGAATGTGGGTAACCAAGCAGTTGCTTGTGCCCACTGACTTTCCAGTATGTATGGGAAAAAATAATACGGAAGTCAATGGGGACCAGAAACTGTTTGGTTGCCCACATTGTTCAAAATATCTTTGTGTTCTGCAGAAGAAAGAAATTCATACAGGTTTGGAACAACTTGCGGGTGAGTAAATGATGACAACATTTTTATTTTCGGGTGAACTATCCCTTTAAGTCTATTTTTTATTTATTCATTTATTTATTTATTTTCGTTTAAAAACATTTATCAAAATTGAGTGACATGTTTACAAGTTTATTTTTCTTTACCCTATTGCAGATATTTTTTGTAACATCTCATACTGCTGACATCTCGTATTGCTTCTGCTTAGATATTAAGGCTTAGAAAAGGCCTCTTTCTGTTGGTCTAAAAGAGCGGACCACTCTGAGGGTGCAGTCACATTTACCTTTGTATGCTGAAAGTCATCTCAATAGGAATCTGCGCAATTGGGAGTTCTTTGCCTATGAAATTTCATCAAAGTGTCTGCAATGTTACTGTGCCTTCAGACCTCTGCAAAGAACCAAGTGTGAAAACACTGAGAAAAGATCCCCTCATGTGTTTGAAGTATGTATAGTAGATTACAGACAGAATAGAGTGTTCTTTCAGTTTGCAAACTGTGTGTTTATTTAAATCATAGTCTTTTGAAGTTTAATAATCACACTAGTCCATAATGTCATTTTGATTTAATTCAAGTAAAGGGATGGGAACAATTAAAATTTGCTGTTAATTAATTTACTCTGAGGCCATCCGAGATGCAGGTGAACATTAAAGATGATTTTTAGCAGATCTCATGGTCCCTAGTGATTCATAATATGCAAGTCAATGGGTGCCATCACTTTGCCAGTCAGATACAGAAAACACCAAATTAGCACATGTGGATCCTATGAAGCAAAACAGTAGCCTTAGTCAATTAAGTATTTAATTGTGCAACCCTCTTGTTGAAAATTTGGATGTGTTATTGCCCCAGCAGTGTTGAACTCTATAAACTCATGTCTTTGTTTTGACTGTGTGTGCATGTGGAGTGCAGCTGACGATGGTTTCTCTAGGGAGATCATGGAACGGACGCAGAGACACCTGGACCAGTATGCAAGAGATGGACTGCGCACTCTCTGTGTTGCTAAAAAAGTAAGCCTTTATCTCTCACTTCCCTTATTTGTAACATTTATTATCTTCTGTTTACATACAGCACTGAAATGCCTCTGCATGGAGGTTGAGTCTTGAAAGAAATTGTTGGCATATGATTGACAGGTATTGGAAGAGCAGGAATACAAAGCCTGGTTGAAGAGACATGAGCATGCAGAAACCAGCATTGAAAACAGAGAAGAGCTTCTGCTTGAATCTGCCGAGAGACTGGAAACTAATCTCACATTATTGGGTGAGATACTAAAGCCTCTTGCACACAGAGATTCTGGAAAATACAGGGATAATGTGTCCCGTGATTTGTCCCAGGATCGTTTGATTTTGGTTCATTCACACTGTCAGTGATTTTCCGGAATCTGTGCGTGCGTTCACACACATTCCATAAAGATCCCGTAAGGACATGTGACATTAGGATATGATGTGTAATGTCACGCGTTCCACTAAGCTGTGCGAACAATCTCAGCTTCAGCGAGGATAGTGAGGATCTCCCTGATCTCTGCTTCATTCCAGTTTGTGCATATTTTTTCATCATGAACGTTGATCTGCCATCAAAACACACAGTAAACGAGTCACACGGTAACGTGCATCCTCACTACGATACACCATATACGGCATTAGTCCTGGCTTTTGTTCACACAGGGCTCGTTCCGAGACTGATCCCGGCACTGTTACTATGTCCCCATCCCGGGATCGTTCACAGGATCAATCCCAGAACGTGTTTGCATTCATACAGACAGTTAAGACAGTGAAGACAAAAATTAAATCTCCTTAAAACTACATTGTGTGTTGGTTGTCCTAGCCTAATTGTGTCTTGGCTTCCAGGGGCGACGGGTATAGTAGACCGCCTGCAGGAGGAAGTGCCTGAGACCATTGAGGCTCTGCAGGAAGCTGGGATTAAAGTTTGGGTCCTCACAGGGGACAAACAAGAGACGGCTATTAATATTGCTTTTGCTTGCAAACTCCTCAGATCTACAGACCACATATTGATGGCCAATTGTGACAGCAAGGTGAGTAGAAGAGGTGGAAGAAAGGATTATATAAAAAAAAAAGACAGTATACACCTTGATAGCACTGGTCATACAATGCAGTTGTTGACCCCTGTAAATAAAACGAAAAACAAAAGAAGGAGAATAGTGCACATGCTCTAAATATTTTGTGTGGTGATGCTTATGTGCATTCAAACATTTTCCATATGCTACATAATATGGAATATTATATAATATGTAATATAATTAATACAAATATATATCACACTGATCTGGTTTATAGTCACATTTGTTATCTTAATCCTAAACTAATGGGGAGGTAACAATTGTACAAATAGATGTATAAATATAAATTATTTATCAAATATTTAAATATAATTTATTTTGTGCATTTAATATTTTTTTTATAATATGCTGTAAGTTAAAGAAAACGTAAAATTCCAAAATAAGGATTTTTCTTCATATTAGACTCTGTTCTTGTGTCCAAAACATCTACGTATTTCTGTAACTCAAACAGTGGAGCATGACGCTAACAATGGCATGATCATAGGTTTGATTCCCAGGGAATTTGTGAACTAATAAAAAAGTGTGTGCTTCAATTCCAACAAGTTAGTAGTTTTGCATAAAAGTATCTGCCAAATGCAAAAATGTAGATTGAGCAGAATGACTTTTTCCATCTATATTGATTTTGGGGATTGCCGTTAATAATTCAATTAAAACCAACCTAGATATTATATTACTAGAAAACATGCAAAAGCTGAGGTGCAAATGCCAACAAAAAAAATCACAAAAAACAAAGGCAGAGACACCCATATGTTCAGTCTTTTATGTTGCAATTTATATATAACTGGAATCTGAATTACTTTTCTGTGTGTGTCCCTCAGGAGACATGCGAGGCTCGACTTCAGGAGTTACAACATGAGATCAGACAGGTCACAAAGGAAGGCACATCTGAAGATGATAGTTCTGACAGTGTGTTGGTCATTGATGGCCATACGCTGGACTACGCTCTGCAGAAGGAGCTACAGGGGTCATTCCTGGACCTTACATGCTGCTGTCGTTCAGTCATATGCTGCAGATCCACCCCTCTGCAGAAGAGCCAAGTGGTGCAGCTTGTCAGAGACAAGCTGAAGGTCATGACCCTGGCTATAGGTGCGTAAGGATAGTGAGAGGTCTGATGAAGGTGTACGGTTGAATGTCAGTGTAGAATGTTGTTCAAACTGAAATGTGTGATGCTTATATTCAGGTGATGGAGCCAATGATGTCAGTATGATTCAAATGGCAGATGTTGGCATCGGCATCTCAGGCCAGGAGGGCATGCAGGTACAGTACAAGCAGAAACCAGGGTTGGGCAAATTTCAGCAATTAAGAATTCACTACCTTGCAATTAATGAGGGTGAATTAATCTGGATTAAACTGGATTGACAACATTCCAAAAGATGTTCAGTTGAAAAGATATAAGAAGGAATTTACTCAACAAAATAAATAAATAAATAAAATGTGTAATTGCATTATTTGTTTTGACTAATTGTCTAATTTTGACTAATTACACTGCCGTTCAAAAGTTTGTCTCTTATACGCATCAAGGCTGCATTTATTTGATACAGTAAAATGCTAATATTATTACCATTTAAATATAATATTTTAAAATGTAATTTATTCCTGTGATGGCAAAGCTGATTTATCAGCATCATTACTCTAGTCTTAAGTGTCACATGATCCTTCAGAAATCATTCTAATATGCTCATTTGCTCAAGAAATATTTCTTCTTATTATCAAACTCTTCCTTTCATCTCATGTGTACTTGGAGAAAACAAAAATAACTTAAAATATATGAAAATATATTCACACATATTGGATAATTTATTTTTATAGATTAATATAGAATTAACGAGAAAGAACAAGAAAAAGAATATAATGTATTTACAGTCTGTATTTACAATGATTGTGTATGTGTGTGTGTGTGTGTGTGTGTATACTATATATATATATATATATTCATATTCAGTTTCTCCTTTTAGTTAATTAAAACCTTGTAGTTCATTTGATAGAACAGATCTCTTTTCCATATATAGGCGGTGATGTCCAGTGACTTTGCGATCTCTAGATTTAAGTTCCTGAGAAAGCTCATTTTGGTTCACGGTCATTGGTGTTACACTCGTTTGGCTAACATGATCCTCTATTTCTTCTACAAGAATGTGGTGAGTAATACACACATTTACACAGTTCCTCATGCAGCCCTTATCTTATGAATCAGTGCGGTCCTGACTTGTTCCTCTTTTCTCTTTTCATGTAGATGTATGTGAACCTTTTGTTCTGGTACCAGTTTTTCTGTGGATTTTCAGGCAACACAATGACCAACTCGTGGGTTTTAATCTTCTTCAACCTGCTCTTCACCTCCGTCCCTCCAATCATATATGGCGTGCTGGACAAAGATGTGTCCAGCGAGATGCTCCTAGAAGTGCCTGATCTCTACAAGTATGGACAAAACTCGCAGGTGGTCATTTGTGTTGTGTTGTGTTGTTTTGCAGTGTGTTGTACATGGTATGAATATAGTGATGGCTTATGTGTAGTTATGTGATGCTTGATTTTCAGGCCTATCTTCCGTCAACGTTCTGGCTGAACATTCTTGATGCTTTTTACCAAAGCCTAGTGTGTTTCTTCATACCTTACTTTGTAAGTCATTCTAAAGTTCTTCACTTTACTGAGTATCATAATGTTTAATTTTTTTAGTAGTGCTCACATTTAACAATTTATATTGTTGTTTTTATGCTATGAAGGCATATGCAGGGTCTGATATTGGGGTATTTTCTTTTGGCTCTCCAATCAACGGCTCTGCTCTCCTCATCATCCTCATGCATCAGCTCATAGAGAGTCGCACAGTGGTGAGCCAATCACATTTGTTCAGTCCTAATTTCTATAATGCTGTGTAATATGTAAAATAAATCTTTAGAATAGTTATTGCATTCCATGCCAAATGTAACACCAAGTCCTCACCAAGTGTGACGACAAAATCTCTTAAACAATAATAATTGAGTTTTCTTAATTTTTTGGTTGACGTCTGTTATGCTCACCAATGCTGAATTTATTTAATCAAAATTTTGTGAAAAATAACAATTTAAAAGAAGGGATTTCTATATTAATATATTTTAAAATGAAATTTAAAACTGTAAAATGTTATTTTCTAAATTACATTTCCAGCTGTCTAATATGCTAATTTGAATTTAAAAAACAACATTTTATTCCAAACGTTTGATTTGGATATTTTGCCCCACCCACGGTAAAATCCTATTGACCCAAGATTCAACTTCGCAAAACTGTACATTAAAGATCAAATATCATTTGTACATGATGTCAAATCATCATTTAGTGCACACAGACAAACACCACAGTAACAACACAGAATTGAGTGATTCTTGTCACGAAATGTACATACCATACCAGGATATTTAATGTCTTTATTTATGGGTGACTGTCTCTGTATCTTCTGCTAATGCTGGTCTTGTGTGATTTTTTTATTTTTTTTTCCCCCCCCTTCCAGACATGGATACATGCTGCATTGCTGCTCTTCAGTGTCCCAATTCAAGTAGATAGGATCTGTGCTTGTATGCCTTTTACCTGCATAGAGAATAGATGCCCATGGGCATTACCACAATGGCTGGTAAAAAAAAGACTGGCCAAACTTTATTGGGATCAGTCACTCATGGTTTTATCTTGTCTTAAAGGCAGTTCTTGATGGTACAGTGTAATTAACTCTTGTCTCTTTCTGTGTCACAGGATCCTGTTTCGTGCCTTTTGTAACGCTATCTGTCCATCTGACCTGGTGAGAGCACAGAAAATGGAGAGACTCTCAGCACAAGACTATTCCATGAGTTTACGGCAGTGGAAGGAGAACAAAGCTGCTCAAAGACTGTCCTCCAGACACGTCCCTCGGAACCTCAGTGTGAATGCTGACATGCCCCATTTAACAGATTGTATCTCTGAAGCAGGCGCTGTTCTCTCATGACCAATAAGGAAGTTGCCCTTGATCATATAAACATGGTCATTAGTTCAAATAATGACTGCATATCCTTGCACTTTATTGATTGGCAGATACTCTGACCAGTCAGAAGCCAGATCTGGCTTTTCTCTGCCCAATAAGTGTTTTCGCAGTGATGTACAGTACCTGTACTTGGAGTCTGGCTTCTGTAGACAAAAAATATTCAGAGAATTGTTTACATTTCACAAGGCTGTGCCTGTGACATTTTTAATTACAAATGCACTCCAGCATTATGCAAGAACGTCAGAGTTGTGAGGATGGATTGTGGGTCAGGACCTGGCTAGTGTATGCCAAGATACTGGCTACTTTGCTCCTACTTTAATGCAATACTCCATTTTTGGTTATTGAGGGTAAAAAATTCAGAACTTCACAACTGCATAGACCATGAAAAAATGAGCTTGCACACTTCCCTTAACACTAACATATGCTTAACTCAAAATTCCCACAGTCATGTTTCAGATGCTATATTCTAGCAAACTGCAAATGACGGTTGAGACTATAGGAATGATCAAATTATGATTTTTCCCCCCCTGGTAATCACTTAATAATTAGGAAAAGCATGACTGAGTCTGTTTGAAATCTGTTCATGGAGAACTTTAATACCATGAGAACTTTACAATAAGTGAACTTTCCCTGCTCAAGAATAAAATGAGGTGAACATAAATGAGAGCTAATGTATTTTGTGACCCGAGGTCCTTGATGTCCATTTGTGTGTTCAATCTGACAGTGAACATGCCGACTGCATGCATTACAAATGGACAAGTTCAGTATTTTATGATAAATGCTAGATTGCTTTTTATACTTAACTGCAATTTTATTTTTATTGCAAAAGTGAACGCTTGCATTTTGAAAATGTGAATTGATAATCCAGAATGATCATCTAAGATGATTTCCAGTCATTGGCTAGAAAACATTATTTATCATTTTACATCTTTTGTGAGCCATTTGTAGTATTTGTCAAATTTGCAATAAAACACTTAAAACATGACTACTGCTTGAATATGAACATATACACCCTGGCCTATGTGTTTTTGTAAAGCACTTGTTTTGACTGAGAGATAAGAATTAGCTTTAAAATCCTATTTTGGGCAGTAGGGTTTAAATATAAACAACAGACTGCCCATTAAAAGTCTTTATAAACAACTGTAGCTGCACTCTAAAAAATGCTGTTGCTGGGTTTGTCCATATTTCACCCAGTGCTGGGTTGTATTTCACCCAGCATTTTTTAGAGTGTGTATAACTGGTATAACAATAAGTGATCATGCTGTACACTCAATAACAGATAATGAAACACATGCTTGCTTTATTTTAAGTTCTCTTACATCCAGCTCCACGTTTCTCATTTTCTTGCTTTACCTGGAGACTTAAATATAAAATTTAAGATGAAGTTGTCCATGGTCATTTTTACTACTGTCAGCAGTTGTTCCGAGTGTCAAGATGGCATAGATGAAGTATTTTAACATCCGTTGGTATGTAATCGCAGAGACATGATGTGTAGATGTCTAATAATTTGTCACTGTTCACTGTTCATTTATTTATTTTTTTTGCACAGGCAAACTCAAAAAACACGGGGGCGTTGGATTCAAATGCAGATAGTAGGTTTTAATAATAAAATAAGAATACAAAATCCACAAGGGACAGAACTGAGTACATCCACACCTAACATAAAAATTACAAACTGACTAAAATATGGCACACCAGACATGAAGAAACTTAAAAGTCCACACACAAGACGGGTAATATAACAGTTTTGATTCAGTTATCCAGTTACACAAATGATTTTTCAAACATCTAGTTTGACACCCTCTCAAGTCAGAATAATATCTGAGGAATTGCAGTGCTTTTTCACATTTTTTGGGTAACAATGATTGCAATAAAACCACACTGGTCTGACATACATCCAGACAAATATCATATAGGTAGATTTGAACTGAATGGTTAAACTGTGATAATTTCCTTTATCTCATCAAATTTCTAGCCACAGGTATCAAGAAGTCAGTGCATATGGACTATGAAAGATCTATCACCACATTTTAGACAATCAACCTTTTTACCTACAGCTTTTAAAGAAATTTTCAAAGCTAGAAATCATTGTTTAGAAGTTGCATTTAAAGTCCACTTGGCTCAAAAATGGTCTGAATGGACATGCCACGTTTGCACGAGAGCATTGTAAGGACAGAGATGCTCATGCTATGGTCATTTGGCAGCATGATGGCAGCATTGCACTTCTGAGACCTTCCTCTTGGAATAGCCCTATACTGTAGACTCCTACCAACGCTACTTTACAAATAGTGTAGCGTTTTCAGTAGCGAGCTATTTTTTCTAACCAAGTAGCAATGGCCCACATTACTATTATTATCTCATTATTATGAGATACCCGACTGTCAAATGAGTCGGTTCACTTTTGAGTCGGCTCTTTTCAATGAATGCGTCAAACAGTAAGCGCAGCGATCCGATTCGTTTGGAGGTTCAGTCTGAATCGCCTGTTTTCCCAAGCACTGAATCGTTTGGCATGGTAAGAGAACGAGTAAACTAAACATTTGTCTATATCCATATTTAATTTGAACCTACAAGCACGCATAGCCTACTGCATTTTTGTTTATTTCTTGAATTTTGAGCAGGCCTACTAAATACCGTGTAAAGTAATGTCTTCAATTAGGTGCACATCCCTTAGGTTCCCACTATCAATTTGAATTCTTTTATAAAACGGATTGTTCGATAATTGTTCCGCATGCAGTAACAAGTAACATTGTTGGCTCTGTGATGAATAGCTCGTTATGTTCCTCATTTGTATGTCACTTTGGATAAAAGCGTCTGCTAAATGAATACATGTAAATGTAACGAACAAAACACTGGTTCACCTTATCACTGCGCAGCGCCCATAGCCGACTGATTAGCACGTCCTAGCGGAAGAATACAGTACCTCTTAATTATGCTTAATGAAATCACGGTTTGATGAAATTTTGTGTCCTTATACTATTGTGTCATTAACATGTTGTAACCATAGACTCTATAAAAACAGTTTGTAACCGTCGTGCCTAACATTTCAGCCATATATGACTACATTCACACGCACCTTATTGCCTAAGTTAATAACATTTTGTCACGACTTAAATTTTGTGCGTCGTTCGCGTGCGCTGGAGCTGGTTTAAATGTGGCCAGTCTTGTATGAGAACAAGTGGAAATCAGCATCTGGTTCCCGTACATTATTACGACATTCATCTGTGGGAGGATCTATTCGACTTCCCTGTGCTGTCGCTTTCGGTTGTAGCATAATACCAGCTGTACGTGCGCAACGGTTTCACCTCGACCTGAACCGACACTAGTGCTGACTGACTGACTGACAGCGACCCCGCGAGCCGCTGCAGTCACTGGAGACCCAGCCATGAGTGTCAGCTCAACACGGAGCAGCGGGGAAGAAATCGACGAGCTGGAGTCCGTTTGGTGAGTTGAACCAACCCTTCGTTCTTCTGACCTGCGGCACTCACGAAATACTAAGCCAGGGCCGCTGCTGGCCACATGGGTGCCCTAAGCAGAATAGTATTGTTGTGCAGGATTGTGTAGGATTGTTGTCCTAAAAAAAACAAAACCCTACTATAAGGGGTCAAAATAGAACTTTAATACAATATAAAAGTCAATAAATGCATTGTAATTAATTGTATTATTTATCAATGACAATTGTAGCTCTAGACAGTTAACTATGGCTATGATTTTATTAATACAGTTGTCTGATGGATTTTATGGTCTCAAGCATTCAGAAATCACACAAAATAAAATTAAGCACTTCAATAACCGTGGTTAATTTAGGTAAGAGTTGTGATGTTCTCGTCTTTTTGTTGAAGAAATTAAAGAGGCTGGAGCATTTCTATCGCAAAAAAGGTGGCCAAAAATGAAGTGGATATTTGAATTAAATGTTTGGTCAACAAGGATTTGATCCCTGTAGGTGTAACAGCAGCAATTATCAGGCCTTTGCAGCCATTTGCAATAATGTAAATGGTTTATTTGGTATTACATTGTGTATTTTAACAGTGTTATTCAATGAAACCATATGATTATTATTAATTAACCAATCGCCTCGTTGTTTTATATAAATAAGGGATAATCAACGGCTAGACGTGGAGGCAAAGAACCGCCCGACGCTGTTCCAGCATTCTGCTTCAGATCAGACAGAGATGAAATAGTGCGCTAAGATCACATTTATTTGAACGAATTATATCCAATTAATTATCGAGAGAGAGAGAGACAGAGAGAAAACAGTTGTGTGTACCTGTGTGTGTGTGTGTGTGTGTGCCAGTGATGCAATTAAATTAGCGCATTAATATGGAACGTTGATTAAACTGACTTGGAACTACCTGTGCATTAAACGGTTTTAATGCATGCCCGCCAGCCAATCAGAATCCAGTATTCAGACAGACCATGGAATAAGTAAGGGATAATGTACATCCAGCCGGTTGTTATTTCAGAATAAACCCCGACAGGGTGATCAGGATCAGAACATTATCCCACTTATTACACGGCTACTTGCCACATAAGTAAATAACGCGAAATATTGAAGACAGCAGTTGCGAGCAAGCGGCAAATTCAAACTAGACAGACATTTAAGGGAAACGGTGCAGTCAAACCACTTAAAATAATTAAGGCAATAAAAGAATTAAGACGAAAATGTTTTAAAACATTACCAGTTTGTTAGTTCTCTTATAATCCATTACAGCGTACAAAACAATCGTAGCAAAACCGCAGCTGCGTTTGTATGAAAGGAGAGCGAGTCCGCGATACCAGGATAGCATAATTAAATAATCGTACACCATTTTGAATCGAGTTTTAATATTTTATTAGCTAAACAAACGCAAAGCTTCCACCTAGAAAAAATAGTTCAAGCAAGAGTACAGCGCCGACTGCTGTTCCCCGGATGTCTCCAAGTAGATATAACTGTAGACCGGAGATCTCCAAAATGGGGCGTGAACTCCCAAAGTGGGCAGAACCTCCCAAATGGGGCGGGGTCTCTAAGACTTTGAAAGACTTTCACCATTGGCTCTGGCTCCAGCCAGTTGTTATTGACTTACATTTCAAAATAAAATTGTATAAATTAAACATTGTTTCTAGTTCATCTAAAATAAAATATGCTATATAAATAAATATTCTCAGTGAGAGCAGAGCCCAAAGCTTGTGGCCAGTGCTGTTCGGACTGGAGTTTGAACCGCTTAATGATATAAACGGGAATCACCCACAAGCTCTCCTGCGAGCCGTCCCAGCGTAGGGGAAAGATTTCACTCTATCGCTTTGTTCCAAGCAACGGGGGTGTCCCGGGCTCAAAATTCGCAGGGTAGGAGGGGGTAGTGACGCTGGGTGTAACTAAAAAGGTGCTATTGTCCCGGTGAGGTCCGGTTGGGGAGTTACGAAACAATCTCACATCGCATAATCTTATTAACTGTTTATCTCCTGAACTGCATCTTTCTTTACCACGCTATTCAGCGCCAATCCCGCGGTGCAGTCAATTTCTCTGGTTAAGGTTAGGGTCAGGTGCGGGGTAGGTTTAAGGGTTAGCATTTTTTGTAGCATAGTGTAGGAAATCAACACTTTAATTGACACAACCAATAACATCTTTAGAATCAGCTGTGGGGCGGAGCTTGCACTGAAGTGGATTGGGGGAAAACATTCTGAAAAAGTCTGTCAATGGGAGGAAGCCACGCCCTATTTTGGAGCTCCCACCCCGTTTTGGAGTTCCCGCCCCCATTTGGAGATCTCCAGGCTGCAGTTATACCCTTCTCGATG